TTTCTGCTTGCTGAAGGTGCTGACATTGAAGCGCCTGATTCACTGGTGAGGATAGTTAGATCTTTGCGCAGGAGCACATATTTTTAGCCGCTCACTGGGAAGCATGAGGTTTCATTGACGAAGCCTGTAGTACCCGATAATCTTTTTAGCATCAGCTTTTCGGGTTTCGTGAAGACTCACACGGCTGTTTTCAGAAGGCTACTCCCCTGCATTACTCTACTGCTATTGAAGAAATCGCCGCAGAGCTAGCGTTGGCGATACTGCACACACTCCTCAGAGGCGGAGCGTCGCCGAACTGTCGAGATATCGATGAACGTACTCCGATTTTGTGGGCTGCAAGCAATGGTATGCAACACTAGATCATTTTTGTGTCTACATGTTGTGAAGGAATCAAAGAAATCCAGTAGGGCATAGGTTTACGCAGCCAAGGAACGGTATAGCCGACGTATAAGGGAGGGACGAGAAAAGACACCTGGGTGAAAATAGACACTTTGCCTATGACCCACTCGATCACAGTTCAGGTCAGGGCTGGTAAACTGGATCATGGGGAAAACCATGGTTAATTATTCCCGGAGCGTCCCTCCATAAGCTGAAGTATGCCCACCCTGCACTGCTGTTTCTGTCGTCACGACACGGTGCCTTCAAGGTCGAACGACTTCAGGCAGGTCTACAATAATTGCGCAACTTTGAAAAAGCTCACTCTAGAGGGCACAGTACGGTGACGGGGGGGAGGAGGGGCATTTTGCACTTTGCTACTAACCAGAGAGCTATTTCATGAGCTCACAAGGGTTGACAGGTTTTATCATGGTAGCTCGACGAGCCTACTCTAGCTTAACAAGAGTTCACAGGCTTTACCAGAGTGAAACCTGAAAACCGGAACTAGTGCAGCAGTGAAAGTGCAAAATGCCCCCCCGTCGCCGAACAGCGCTCCAATAGAGTCCCAATCGCTACATTTTGGCTTTATGAACATCCGTCGCTATCTGTGTGTCATGTGGAGGCATTCCTGCCTACGTACGTTTTGGCGCGGCGCCAGTTCATGCCCACGAAACGTTGTCACTATGGGCAGCCAACAAGTGATGGAAGTAAATAGGATGCAGCCGTGCCAAAAAGTTCGCCCGCTGGACCGCCTCTATTCAACTCTTCGATAAGCACTGTAAAATTGTGCCTATAAATTAGTACAGTGGTCATAGTATCTAATCACTCTTTCCTGGGCTTTGTACGGATTGAGCCTATAATCTGATACAAGTGGCCGTAGTATCTGATTACCCCCTTCCCCGCACAATTCCCATGTAAAATATGTTTTAAGCGAAAAGCCATGGCTAATTGTGAAGGCATTATGACAGTGTTCATGGCTGAAAACATGAAAGCAAAATATGTAAATGGTTCCACTATGAGTAACTGTTTGCAGGAAATCTGGAGGCGATGCATTCGCTTAAACAAGCCGGTGGCGATCTTGAAGCCGTGGATCGGGATAGTCTGGGTGTACTTCACTGTGCAGCAAGCCACGGTTATCATGAAGTGAGTCAAAATTTTGCTTTTGGGAAATATTCAGAGGGAAAGAAAAAATATTCATCCATCCTCAGATTAGAAGAGATTAGGCGTAAGGTTTCCGCACAATAAACGTGCATAGGCTTCTCTCTCGATGTTTACAACTGCGGAAGAAGGGACGGAAGAGTTTTTTTTTACAGGGAGGGCTTCCGCTCAGAAATACGCAACCCTGAGCTACGGTGCTACCGACAACCTGGAAAAACTAATTACAACAAAAAGGGTTCGCCTTTGTCCCTTTTTTGGCAGTTATTGTTAGCTCTAACAGTTACGAAAATGCTAGCTATTTTAATTTGTGTTCATGTGGTCCTGCAAGGAAACTGCACGCCTACCGCTCGCTCTGCGATCAGGGCCCGTTCTCGGGAAATACGACCGCTCCCTTCCCCATCCTACTTACTGCTTTCCCCACTTTACTATATGTTTCCAGTTCAGTCAGTGTTTCCGGAACTTCCCGAGAACTTTACGGTCTTTCGCAAAATTTTGCTGTCGAGTGAGGGGGGGGGTATAGAGAGGTATGGAGAGGTAGGTAGCACATGAAAAACGAAAAGAAAAACCCCGAAAAGTCATAAACCGAGAACGTTTTCCCACAACGCCGCAAATTCCTCTTGAAAGCAATTACGACCGCACCTCCTCTTCCCCTATAGCGTCCGCGAAACAAGAACAATCGATTATCTAAAAAAATTTTCTCGAACCGAATTTGACCTCATCCCGCTGGGGAATCTTCAGCATACGACGCGGTCTGTTCGCAATTAGTAAATAACCACAACCATATGTAACAAATAAAGTATATTGCAGACGATCGACTTCTTCATGGAAACTGCGCCTCATGCTTCTATTGACCAACGAGATCGTGCTGGACATTCGGCGCTATTTTATGCCGTCACCTACGGTCACTACGAAGCTGCAAAACATCTTCTGGATCACGGTGCTAACCCGAATCACCAGGTACATTCTGCCATCTTCTGGTACAAGATAACAGTAAGGGCCCAAGTGGAGACTAAGTGAATTTCAACGTTCATTCACCATTTACACTCATTGTTTGGACCAATTGGTTTCATGAGAAAATACTTACGAATTGGTCGTATGCTGCAGGACAATCGTCTACGCACACCCTCGCATTGTGCCGCCGCCAAGGGTCAAATGCGAATGCTCAAACTGCTTAAGCAGTACAACGCAGCTTTCGAGATTCAGAACTATCGTGGTGATTTGCCAGTTCATGAAGCCGTTCAGTCTAGGAGCAAAGGTACGATTTGAATCACGTGTATTGCACTTCAGCAGCATGATATCCTCAAAAAAGAGATTAACAGTATTTTTTCACGTCTGCGAGCAACCGGGGATTCCATTTCAAGAAACGCGCTGGAAGTCACATGGGAAGGCTCAAGAGAAGCTCCTTCGTTGCTTGTACCACTGTGCGTTGTACACTTTCTAAA